TTTGTGGAAATCCTATTCGGTTTCTAATTCTAATTATAGCACAAAACGATCAATTATTCTAGCATTAGATATCTGTGGATCAAAGGCTGCCGCTCCCCAGCCGAAGTGTCACACAGTCACACAACGGGATTCCTCTTGTATATTATTGATTACTGATTAATTGGGATTATGGTTTTCTTTTGTAATTTTGTAATTTTAAAACTTTTAACTTGAACTATTTTTTATGTTCTATTGTATTCATTTAATATTGCGTTTGAGATGAGTTTTGAAAAATGTGATTTTTAAATTAAATAACTTTTTCTATTAGATTCTTTTTTTTTTTAAGAATTGTGTTTATGGATAGTCTCATAACTCATTTTGGATAACTAAAAATATATATTTTTTAAATTCTATCTTGTTGGGTAATAAAAAAAAACATTTTACAAAAATTAGATTGTTTTAAAATCCATTTTATGAAATAATCGAGGAATGATAAAAAGGGAATTTTAAAGTTAAAGTACTACCGTCACACTGTACTATTCATTTTGCTTCATGTACTTTTAAAATATTCATTTAATTCCTATATATTTTTTAAAAATCACCATTTTTGTCTCTTAATTTTATTTTTAATATCACTTTTTCTATCAAAATTTCAACACGATACTACACTATACTGGATATATTTCTTGAAATGTAACAATGATTTTATATTAAAATATTTTTGTTAATTATGTGCGGAATTTGTGCTAAGTTTTGCAAATAGTGACCAAAATAATCACTTTTTGACAGCGTAGAGGTCAAAACGAACATTTTAAAAGTACAGAAATAATGAACTAAAGTTGAAAGTAGATAGACCAATATAAATATTTTAAAGGTACAAATACCCAAACGAACCAAAGCCAAAAGTTGAAGGACCAAAATAGTATTTTAACCTAAATTAAAAGGTGGGGAGAGACTTTTACTAAAATAAAATAAGTGCAAAAAAAGTATATGCCAAACTTACCCTTAACGTTCTCATTATTTGTATTTTCTGTTCTATTTCTTGCCGCTGCAACCCGAAGGGTACGTATTATGACTTTTTAAATATCTCCTAAAATTCGCATATCAATCAGTTAATTCACTTTTACCATTTGATTTTGAGAAAGAAATACACTTTTCCCGTAAATCTTGTTTTAAAAAAAAAAAAAGTATGCGTAATAGTTTGCCCATGAACATGGGACATATGAAGAAAAATTATTATAGTGAGGGAGTTCCAAAAAGTCCAATAACATCAACGAATTAGAGTTGAATTGAATACTAAATTTATTTGAGTCAATACGTTGAATATTTTATGAGTTAGATTGGTTTGTAATTTGGTCCTAAAAAAAAAAATATTTAATTTGAGTTGGAAGTTGGAACTAAATTAAATCAGTTTTTTTGTCCAAGTAATTGGATTTTCTTTTCAAACTAATGATAAGATATATAAACAAGTCAAATATCTAAAAATAGATTAATAGTTTTTTTAGTACACCAATTATGGAGACGAGGAGGGATTAAACCTCGGTCCAATTTTAATGAAAGAAGTAATTAGGTTTCTTAACTACTCAGCTTACATGGACAAGTTAATAGGTTGTTTTAGTATTATCTTTTTACTATTTTTCACATGTAATTTAGTTACTTTGAAAAATCTAAAATACAACGGTCTAAATATTAGATGTTGGATTAGGTTGAGGGACTCAAAACCTAATTAATATTTATTTGAGTTCAACCAACTAAATACTTACGGTGAGTAATTAGAAATCTCTAAATCCAAATAACGGTAGTCTGACACATTTATAGTATTTCCATTTAAACTATTTCAACTGTATTATTTTAAAAAGTAAAGTTAAATTATAAGTTTAGTAAAAAATTTATCTCGACTAAAATATTTGAAGTTTGAATCCTAACACCGATATCTGTTGTTGAACTTATACGACATTTTTTGAGTCTTTCGACTTGTGTTTAATAAAAGTGTTAATAGTGATATTTGAATTTTTAATTTTATACCAACATTAAAAGTTAAAAATACATAATATTATAATATATCATCTTCAAATTTGAAGAACCTCTAGACTAGACACAAAATTAAGAAATTAAAAATTCAATAGGCACTTTTAAAGTTTAAGTATTTATTAAACACAAAATCAAAAGTTTAGAAATTTATCGGATATTTTTAAATTTAGATATGATTTTAACTTTCAAAAAATAAAAAAAGGAAAATAAAGAGAAGGTTGAAAATTAATGAAGGGAGCCTAATAATTAAAGATACGTGCTAGAAATATGAATAAAATAAAAGAAATAGGGAAAGTTGAAGGGACCAATGTCAATAAATAGAGGAAACAATATCGAGAATGCGGAGCTAAACGATATAATTAGCAAGAATCGGAAAATGTGAGTGACACTGTAAATTCTAAATAAAAAAGAGAAAAACAATAATATAAGAAATTTGATGTGACATTGAGAAAAGACACATATAAAAGAACAGTTAAGTAGATAATAAGTAGAATAATTATATTATTGAAGTATATAGTAAAAACAGGGAAAGAAGACAAAACGTGGCACTCCCAAATTACAATTGAATTAAATTAATTAATGTAATTTATTTGGGGTGGGTCAATATGGTGGCGTGGCCCTGGGGAGTCCGGTTTGAGCTGGCCCTTGGCATACATCGCTGTAAGCAGCAGGTGCCATTTAATTATGAAGAGATTGTAAACAGGATCTCCAACTGATTCACTGGCCCATGCAAATTATAAATTGGAATCAATACACACACAGGTAATTCATGGCAACACGACATTTCACCTTTTTAGGTTTTCTTCGCACTTTTATATTGTCCCCTATACATATATGGGCATAATTTCGTGCCCCCATCGCCTTCTTCTTCTTTTAGAATCGGTATCGGTATCGGTATCGGTAAGAATTTGAATATTCAACTTTGAAATAAATAAGAAAATATTATTTATCATTGAACTTTCATTTTGGACTTTATTCAATTCAATAACTAATTTTAAGTAATTGTTGAAGAAAGGTATTTCATTTAGATAAAAGTCGTTTTAAGAAGTATTTTTCACTTAAAAGTGTTGCTTTCTAAAGTTGTTTCAAACCCACCCAATAAAAATGCTTATACTACCAATTATTATTATTATTATTTTTCTCTCTTCTTATTGGACACTTGTGCTATTATTATTATTATTTTTTTACACGGAAATGCTAGAGCCTTGTTGAGAGATTTCGTCTTTGAATTGACCCAAATTTAGACATTCAAATAGAATTTTTACCATTGAGATCCAGTTCCATTTTCCTTTCGAATTAGTCTAATTTTAAAAATTCAAAACAAAATCTCGAATTATACATTTTTCTCATCACTTTGCCGAAAATTTGATGAGAACGGATTTATTATAAATGGTAAAAATAATTCTTTTTGTTAGTACATCAATGAGTTAGAGGGAGATTCGAATCTATGACTCCAGATCAGAGATATATGCAAAGTACCATTAAATTAAAGTCAGGTCGGTAAATTGTAAAAATAATTATAACGAAGTTTTTAAAAATAAATGGTCAATAAAAATGAGTTTTTAACTTCTGAATTGGTAGTTTTTTTTTTCTAATAATATTTTTGGTTCTCCCTAAAAAATTGTGCATAGTTTTAACCGTACTACAAGGCATTTAGTTGGTTTAATTTAATAATTCAATTGATAAAATTGAATTCAATATGATTATTAAGGACTGACAACATAATAAAAAAAAGTTATCATTTAACATCTATATAATTCAAAATATTACTCTATAATTCATAAATACATATGAATTTATCTCCCATTTACGATACTCACTTGTAATGGTAAAAAAAATTCCTCAATTTAAGCAGAAGTTTTCTCTTATTGTGGCTCCCATATTATTTGTGACAGATCTAAAATAAAAGTAATGAAATAAAACTTGGAAAATACGGAAAATTTAATATACAAAAGTAGAAAACGGAGAGAAAAGTTACCCTCACAACACATAGCTCACAAACTACTCTAACATTCTGTTACAAAGGAATAAAGAAAAAAAAATATGCGAAAAAGAAAAAAAAAGGAAAAAAAGAAAAAAAAAACGACCAGACTGGATTAGAAATTTTAGGGTTTCCAATGAGGGAGTAGTCCCAGTGGAGGTTCCATTCCAAGGCAGGTTGCGTGTGATGTACGCACCAATGAGAAGGCGTTTTAGTGGGAAGGCATCTTTTGGCTTTCATGACACGACAGGCATAAATGGAGTATCCCCATTCGTAGAGTGAGCGAGCGTGTAAGTTACGCGTGTGGTGAAATGGTGTTTTTTCTGTTTTTACCCTTTTTTAACTCGCTAGGGTTTCCCTTTCGGTTTCGGTTCATTCACGCCCAAACGCTGATATGCCTGCCACGTGTCGACCTTTAATTACCTCCACG